ATAATAATAATAATAATAATAATAATAATAATAATAATAATAATACCAGTAATGGTGATAGTGATAAATAGATTAGTGATAACGTAATGTGACACGTAAATTAGTGATAACACGAATGTCAGAAAAACAACAAAGAACATTTATTTCAAATTATTGACAGAAATGATGATATAATAGCAAAAAGAATACTACTAAGGAAAGTAACTACAGAATTGCATCAAAGCATACTGTCATTGTAGTGAAAGAAATTGATGCTAGATGCATTAATAATCAAATTCAAACTGACTTCAAACTACTTCCACATCCAATCTCCCTCGCTCGGAATCACTCAATGAAGCCTCGTGACATAAATGGGTCGGATTAAGCCTGCATACTAATCAGATTCATCCCGCAAAGCTCTTCCTTATTTGCATCACTAAAAATATTGTCTTGCTGCTGCTATATGCACATCTATTGCCACTTTAAAAGTATTCTCAGATGTTATGCTCACTAAGCTATAAAGGCCAATATTTCATCTTAGTTTGCTAATTTGGAGCTTACAATATTATTTTTACAGTAATCATGTTTATCTAGGTTTACTTCCTCTTTTGACTTATAGAGTAAGTAAGCAAAAGTCTGATCAGTGTACTCACTTGTTGATAATCATCACAAATTTGGTGATTTAAATAGCGCAATCGACCAAGCTAACTATCTCCTCACGTAATGCTATTTTTTTCTTCCAAACATTAAGCGATTTGCATAGTCTGCAAATGTTGAAAAAAGCTAATTAAGCCTAATATCCAGACAAGCTTGTTCTTGCTTCTATCCCCTAACTTACCATTCTTGTAATACAACATATTCCCAAATGCCACTTGTCAAGTTTCAATTATTAATGTTATTGCTTTAATACTTATTACTGCTGACAAGACAAATGTTAAAATTTGAAATGCGAGCTTTATGAAGTTCATTAAGGTCACGGTACTTTGTAACGTTGTACTGTAATGAAAAGTTAGCGAACAGTGGTTCTGTAGTAATTAAATTTGACGAATAATTTTATCAATAATTCTGTATACCAGAAGCACACAACAAGCTAGTTTTAATTTTTCCACCATTACTTTCATTAGTTAGATAACATTTTCACGTCATTCAAAATCTGAAATATTTTTCCGACCTTCTACTTTATTTGTTACCAATAACAATGCAAAGAAACCTTCTTGTCATTCACGATTGATATTTACAAAATTATTTACAACGTTGCTTGCTGTAACTTTTAATGATTCTAGTAGTTCGCGAAATATACTGAACCGAATGAGAAGCACTGTAAAGCTTACAAGTAGTCATTGATGAAAATAATGAAAAACATACACCAGAAATAGTTAAATTTGAGCAACTTTTTTGAAATAAAATAATGAGAACAATTATATTCTAATCAGCTGGATATCATCAATTGGATGAAGCGACGTATAAGTAATTATGAGCACTTACAGATAACAGCGAATCGGTACTACTTCTGTTCTAGCATAAGTAAACTTTTTAATTAGTGCTAAATATTATTTCTATCTCTAGCACTGTATTCGTGTTTCCTTAGCAGATAGAAGTCTGCAACAATCCTTACTCAATTTGTAAAAAATCGTACTCATAAAAAATAAATCTTACATATTTTAATGAATCTTCGAATTCGAATAAATTGAATCTTCCATCATGTTTACATGAATTTCTTTGCAGACTTCTACAGCTCTGAAACTATTGCAGAGAACTGACCCTATTTCAACCAAGCATTTAAATTTGCTCGTTTCAAAGAAAATGCAAAGTATCTAATCTATTTGATCATCTTGCAAATGAGAACCTCATATCAGGGTCAAATGTCCATTTTATCTGGCTGACCATATCTATTGTAATGAAAGACAAACTGAATACAACCTCTCTGTCTAATGGATAGCGTAGCCACAGCAGGCTTTAGGCTGTCAACAATTCTCCTATGTCTTCACTACTGCCCTGCGCTAAACTACAACGCTTATCGAAGGTGGGGCCAAAGCATTTGGTGGAATATGCACATTGTTTCAATTTCACAAACAAATTCAAATTTTCTCGCTTGTCTACAGGAAAAGACGCAAGAATGTTGAAGACAGTTTTTTATCTTTGCTCCAATTGGCTACACTCAAATGGATTTATATATGTGTGTTCATTTAACTCTCAAAATGACTTACGTAAAAAGAAAACACACGTTTTGGCTACTTCACTTTTTCACTGTCTGAATAGTATGAATATTTTTAAAAAAAAGTGATTTTTCACGGTTATGACTTGGGCATAATGACAAAAAGTTTTACTGCCATTATAGTCAGTATTGTAGAATAATATTCATTACTGAATTGCAAAAGTATAGTAATGGGTCAAATTTGGCCTCAAGTAAGTACATTACATGCGTTTTTCACGTCATACTCTGCACACTTTTCGTGTAAAATTCATATACGGAATTCATTTAGAAAACTACGCACGAATTACAGAAATGCCTTGAATTTAATGACTTTATCCACTGAAATAGTAACAAGTACTAACATATTTTACTAGTAATACTATAAATTCAAGATTCGCATTGACTTTTCAGCACGATACTAGACATCCCTTCCCGCCATTTTACCAACATTATTAGAACCTATACTGTAGTGACCAAAATGTGGCATCTATTATTTGTAACTGTTATTAGTTCCTTTACTACTGCAATGCCAAGTTTATAGCAATCTGAACAAGAATTTATTCTCATGCATCATATTATATCTGACTCTAATTATATCGCACAACCATGAATAAATAACACTACCACTGTAATAACTAGCTTTCCACACAAATGAAGCTACCCAGTCTTTCTTCAGACTGTGATATCTTTTAATGCATCATCCTGGAAGAGTTCGATGCTGCGTGTGATTCTAATTCTGTTTCGAGTGTAAAAACAATGATTGCATAATAACTTTATTAATACAAAGGGAACAATTCATTAGAACAACAGAACAAACAAATGCTTAATGAGATATACAGTAATCTAAACAAAACACGCAAAAAGTTAAAATATAGGAAACACTGTGCAACTGAACCAAAAAAGTAATAGGGATAATTTCAAGAAAGCTTTGTTTGAACTGCGTGATCTAATGCAATCTGCTTGCTATCGAGTAGATTCGCATGATTATTAATAAAAAGTTTTCACCTATCGCGAACGTGTACAGTCACGTTCGTCGTAAATGTTTGCTCAAAAATCTGAA